ATATATACATACATACATACATACATATACACACACGCGCAAAAAACACAAACATTTCACTTATAAATTCACTTTCTCTCTATATGAAGATTCTGCCAGCCTGTCCATCTTTAACCATGACATCTAAAAAGTTCACCTCTGTAGGTACCTATAATCCATTGCTACCACCCACGACTATCTTTCCCTCGAAAAACTGGACAAAATGGTACGACGTAAATCAGGATAACCGGTTCAATTTGGTTGGGATTTTTTTCATCGGGATGTGTAGGTGATCAGCTCTGGTAAAAATGAACAGATTGACAGATAGTAGTTTGTATGTTAGAATAGAAGAGTTGGGGAGAGAAGAGAGTGATAGATAGATAGAGAGAGAGAGAGAGAGAGAGAGAGAGAGAGAGAGAGAGAGAGAGAGAGAGGAGAGAGTGAGAGGGGGAGGGACACACAGACAGACGACAGACAGACGACAGACAGACGAAAGACAGACTGACAGACAAAGATAGAGAGAGGAAGAGACAGAGAGAGAGTGGGTTGGAGAGAGATAGAGAGGGTGAGAAAGAGAGCGAGAGAAAGAGAGAGAGAGGGGGGGAGGGTGAAAAGAAAGTAAATAGCCAGACGTTCTTTGTGCATCGGTAATATGGCTGTTTATTTGTACATCAAACAAGGAAGTCTATTTTGCAAAGTTCAGTTATCATTTGGTCATTAGTTTATTTTCTTGTCTGATTTTTTAAATTCTTAACTCTACCACTATCTTTCTGTTTACTCACTTGAGCTGCAATGCCAACTAATACACAGACGATACCTACGTTGCTTTTTTACCGATTCACTACAAAGAGATACGCTTCAAAATCCGGTTAACGGGGGAAAGGGTGCTTTCCCAGTTCCCCTCGCCCACAGAGGCTTTCACAAGCCCTTAACCGTGGCCGTCAGAGGCAGTTGTTCGCCCCACCCACTTGTCTCACAATGGCCGCCAGGGACTAATCATCATCATTTAGACACTCGTGCCATTTAACCTGCTTCGGGGCTCGGTGCTTACGAGATTCATTATTCGTTGTCCGAGAGGTTGGAACTCGCCAAGTGGCGAGGGCTACTTAAGGGAGGGGGGTAGGGGGCATACTTAAGGGGAGAGGGGGAGGGGGCATACTTAAGGGGAGAGGGGGAGGGTAATCGGGATACTTACGGTAGGGCTGTTGGACAGGGAGCCTAAATGCCTGGCAAAGGGTGCATGGGGCCTATTTATAAAGTGTTGCTGAGGTATGTTCCTTGTCACGTGAATAG